AATACAGAACTCTTACAATCTTACAAACCCACACTCTCTCCTATCCTTTATAGTCTAGTTGTTATTTATGTTAGACAAACTTAGAAATATGTTTTAAAGAGAAGCAAAGTTTATAAGAAAATTAATAGGAAGTACGCAAAAATATAGTATTTTGCATTTATCTACAGGTTTATTATGTTTGGTGCCCTTCATTCTTTTCTGAGGATCCAAATTTCCATCTGGTATCATTTTCCTTCAGCTTGGAGAGCTTTCTTTAGCATTTCTTTTTTTATTATTATTATACTTTATGTTCTAAGGTACATGTGCACAACGTGCAGGTTTGTTACATATGTATACATGTGTCATGTTGGTGTACTGCACCCATTAACTCGTCATTTACATTAGGCATATCTCCTAATGCTATCCTTCCCCCTCCCCCCACCCCACGACAGGCCCCGGTGTGTGATGTTCCCCTTCCTGTGTCCAAGTGTTCTCATTGTTCAAGCCCCACCTATGAGTGAGAACATGTGGTGTTTGGTTTTCTGTTCTTGCAATAGTTTGCTGAGAGTGATGGTTTTCAGTTGCATCCATGTCCCTATAAAAGACATGAACTCATCCTTTTGTATGGCTGCATAGTATTCCATGGTGTATACGTGCCACAGTTTCTTAATCCAGTCTGTCATTGATGGACATTTGGGCTGGTTCCGAGTCTTTGCTATTGTGAATAGTGCCACAATAAACATACGTGTGCATGTGTCTTTATAGCAGCATGATTAGTTTACTGAGAGCAAAGAATGGCTCAGAGAGCACTGAACACCCTTCAGGGGCAGTGGGATTCCTTTCTCTAGCCTTGTGTATTCCACCAGGAGCAACTTTTGCCTTTGAGACTTTGAAGACACAAGTTAAATACACTTTAATATCTTGTGATATAAAATTATTTGCTTTACTTCCTTTCCATTTTTAGGCTATCTGGCTCATTTCTAAAATTCATTTTTTTCCTGTTTCCTTGTCCAATTTCTCCATCATTTGTATCACATTCAGGCTCATTACATTTGGACAATATCAGATATTGTAAACTTGTGTTTTTTTTTCTCTTGAAACTCCATTTGCTTAAACACCTGCTGCTGCTTCCAGAAAGAGATCAGAAAAAATAATCTACACAAAACTATGAAAGACTTGTTATTTCTTATTATCTGAACCCTTGGGACATTAGTACATATTTCTCAGATTTATTGCTTGTGCATCTAGAAAAATTCTGATTTTATCTATCAAATCATGGGATACATTAGGTATATAGCCAAGTTTTTTATTTAAAGATGATGAATTCTTTCATTTTTTGTAAAGTGTTGTCACTATAGACTTCCAGTGTCCCTAGCAATAACTAGTTTGCAATTGTTTAGAGACCTTTCTTCTTTTGAGTTGCATTTAAGCTTCCTTTCTGACTGTCTATTCATCTATTAATCTTTCATCATTCTTCCCTCCCTCAATCCATCCATCCTCCCATCCAGCTACTCATCCACTTACTCATCCACTGCCACACCAAACACTAATTAGAGCCACACCATGTTATGGGAATGGTGGTGAGGAATAAATTGATATAAAAATTGAATTTTACATCAAGAAGCTCATAGTCAAAGCAGGGGTTTTCTACTTTGGCACCATTGACATTTGGGGCTGGTCAGTGTTTGCTGTGGGGTCTATCCTGTGCAGTGTAGGATATTTAGTTGTATCCCTGGTTTATACACACTAGATGCCAGTAGTATTCTTCCCCCCATTATCCCTCACTGGGAAAACTAAAAATGTTTTCAGATGTTGCTAAATGTCCCCTGGGAGGTAAAATGCCCTGGGTGAGAACCACTGGATTAATGAGAGAGACTAAAAATGACATAATTTCTCTGTATTGTGGTATGTCCTACAAGAAATATGCACATTGGAGATATATTCTGGATATATTACGTCTGTACTCCCCACCTCTGATCGTTACTAACATACTTCTGTAAAGTATTTCTTAATCACGAAAGAACTTATATTTGAGGAAATTATTCATGGTTTAATTGTTTTGCCCTACAGCAACTTTAGTTATTCCATGTGATAGCTTTCATGTAAATTCATCTAAATAGCTAAACATACTTTATTGCCGTTTTTTCATCCATGCAGTCTCTGTTGAAGTAACTGTCAGAGGATATTTAATAGAAATGCTCTTCATAAAAAGTTTTTATTAAATGCCAAATTATTGAAAATGTGCCAGTATATAGAACAGGATAAGAACTGGAATTTGTGATCAACTCAGTAAAATGATTTTTTTCTTTTCTGTTTGCCTATATTTCTGTTTTTTTTTAAACATATATTTTATCACATTTAATTGAAGTTGACTACTTCTATATTAGTAGTGTTTCAAGCCAGACTTTTAAGGGTATATGTCTCACACAAAAATGGTTAGCAATAGTTAAATGATACTACATTAAATCTAACTGGATATGACATTATTATCCTGAAGAGATTTTCCTGGCTAAAAGTAGAACCTCATCTTTCTATTAATCTAGTATTTTTCTGTTTATTTGCATCTTAGATGTTTTTTTGTGCTGGTGGTTTCATCCTATCGTATAGAGAAGTCGATGTGTTAGCTCTTAAAAACTCCTGATAATGTGGAGCTTAAGTGACCAAAGAAAAGATTATCCTTGCTTTCTTGGTTTCAGAAACAGCCTTACTTAGGAAAACAGGTTCAAAGAGTTCAGTGTAATTGGTCTGAAAACCAAAACAGTTATTTAAAAGGAGAAATGGCCAATTTAAATTCTCATTTAGAGAATATGGCAGAGTAAATAGAGAATATTTTGTTCTTTTCACTTAAAAATTCCTACTTGGTTATAACAACATTTTCAGCCTATATAATTACTTGTGGTATTGAGTTTCATAGCTTTCTACTTGCTTTGTAACAGGTTATAGTTTACCGTTAGTATCTGTGGGGAATTTATTCCAGGACCGCCACTCTCCCCCGCCCCCGCCCTTGGATAACAAAATCCTTGGATGCACAAGTTCCTCACATAAAATGGCATAGTATTTACATATAACCTAAATATATTCTTCTTCATACTTTAATCTCTAGGTTGCTTATAATATCTAATACAATGTAAATGCTATGCATTTAGTTGTTATACTGTATTGTTTTCTTCTTTTTTTAAATAAAAAAATTATGGTTACAGAGTAGGTACATATTTTTACTTTTTGTTATTTTTCATTTTACTTTATTTTTCCCAAATATGACTGATCTGAAGCTGATTAAATCTGAAGATGCAGAACCTGTGGATATGAAGAAATTACACCTTTTATTTGCCTCAGACTCCCTTCTTAAAGCTCCAAATGTTTCCTTATTCTAGAGTCCTTATTAGATTTGGTGACTAAATATATGTTTACCAGCATTGTTTGTGTTTTTACAGATTTGAGAACTCATGTATTTTTATATGAAAACTCTCTAATAAGATGCAGTGTTTTAAAGTCTCCAAAAGGTCAGGGTTATCTATAGCCTGGAAATTTCACCTTGTATCATCTCAATGTCTCCAGAATCTACTACCCCTCATTGGCTCTACTTCTACCACCCTGATCTAAGCCAACATTATCTCTTGGATTTCTGCTGGTGATAAAAAATGTGTTTCTAGCCAATCTCTCTGCTTCTATCCTTGAGACTCTGAAACATATTCACAATGCAACAGAGTAACCGTTTGATAATGTAAGCTAGATTTTGTTGTTTCTCTATTCAAAATCTAGTTGCTTCTTATCTCATTCAGAGTAACGACCAAAGTACTTACAATGGCTCATAAGGACCTACGTGATCTGTGCACCTGTTACCTCTCAAACCTCATCTACTCCACCCTCCTTGCACACTCAGGTTCAGCCTTTCGGACCTCCTTGTAGTTCTTTGCACATGCCTAATGAGTTTACACCTCAGAGCTTTTGCTCTTGCTGTTATTTCTGCCTGAAACACTCTTTCCCCAAACACCCTCATGACTTGTTCATTCATCTTTTTAGATTTCTGCTCAGTCAACTCATCAGCAAGAATGTTATTGTCAATCCTGTTTTATAATAGCACTCCCCTTAGTGCCTTATACTTCTTCCTTGCTTACTCATTATCGACAGTGAAATTATTATCGGACACCCTGTATATCTTTATTTATTTATTTGATTGTCTGACTCTTCCTGTCAAAATGTAAATCTATGAGAACAGGGACTTTTACCTATTTTGTTGTTGGCTGTATTCCTAGTGCTTAGTTCCTGGTTCATAATACAAGAAATTATTAGGTAAGAACTACTTCAGCCTAATCATTTATTTATTCAAAAACTTTTTTAATCACCTAGTATTTGCAAGACATTGTATGGGCAAACTATGGAAATAAAAAATTAAAGGAGTGATGATTTATATCCTCGAGCAGTTTATAATCATATAGGGGAATAGACATGTGACCAACGGGTATAGAAACTAAATTGGGATATATTGGTGGGTCCTAAGGAAGGCTTGATAAATCAGGTGCTATTTGATCTGGATATTAAAGAATAAATAATATTTTGAGAAGTGTAAAATAGGGAAAGAAAATTTCCGGCTTGAACAAAGAAATCTGAGTCACAAGATCTTAAAAGTCTATGTCACAGAATAGCCCTTTTTGTCTGTCTAGTATACATCATTACTTATTACTTCTCCAGGGAAAAGGTGGTGAATATTGATTTTACTGATATAGCAGTTTAACATCAAATGCTCTTTCTTTGTGGTTTCCTCAGGTAAACACGGGTACCAATCTACCAGACTACTTTACCGTCCCTTAAATTAGCAAGCTCATGTGGCAGCTTAGTTACTGTCACATGTAACTGCAGCAGTAGTGGCCAAAAGAATGTCATTTGTTATCCATGAGGTGCTCAGGTAATATTTGACTTTCATGGTTATATACTTTTTCATAGAGGCTGTTAATATAATACTATTAATTAGAATTTTCTCATTTTTTTTCTCTTTAGGTAAATGAGAGTGAACTTATCAAATGAACAGGGACAAGCACTCTGTGGTGTCTGAATTTGTGTTGCTGGGACTCTCCAATTCTTGGGAGATTCAGATTTTTCTTTTTTGCTTTTCTTGTCTTTTCTATGTGTCCGGTGTGATGGCAAACCTCATTGTAGTGGTCACCATAACCTCTGACCCTTACTTGCACTCCCCCTTGTATATTTTGCTGGCCAACCTCTCCATCATTGACCTGATATTTTGCTCCATTGCGGCACCCAAGATGATCTGTGATATTTTCAGGAAACAGAAAGTCATTTCCTTTGGGGGCTGTGTAGCTCAGATCTTCTTTAGCCATGCTGTTGGGGGCACTGAGATGGTGCTGCTCATAGCCATGGCCTTTGACAGATATGTTGCCATATGTAAGCCCCTTCACTACCTGACCATCATGAATCCAAGAATGTGCATTTTGATTCTAGTGGCTGCCTGGGCCATTGGTCTCATTCACTCATTGGTCCAATTGGCTTTTGTAGTAAACTTGCCCTTCTGTGGCCCTAATGTGTTGGACAGCTTTTACTGTGACATACCTCAGCTCATCAAACTTGCTTGCACAAATACCTATAAACTGGAGTTCATGGTTACTGCTAATAGTGGGTTCATTTCCTTGAGTGCTTTCTTCTTGCTCATCCTCTCTTACATCTTCATTCTGGTCACTCTTCAGAAACACTCCTCAGGAGGCTCATCCAAGGCTCTCTCTACTCTGTCAGCTCATATTACTGTTGTGGTTTTATTCTTTGGACCGCTGATTTTTTTCTATGTATGGCCCTCTCCTTCAACACATCAGGATAAATTTCTAGCCATATTTGATGCAATTTTCACTCCTTTTCTGAATCCAATCATCTACACATTCAGGAACAGGGAAATGAAGATTGCGATAAGGAGAGTGTTCGGTCAATTTATGGGTTTTAGAAAAACTACTTAAGTGGCTTTATTAAAACACAGAATTTCCAAGTGACTATTGAAAGTCCACAGTAGGCAGTCCTCATAAGAAGAGACTTTCTGCTGTGCATCACTTTGTATTCTCACAGACCTTCATTGCCCATATGGAGGGTCTATTTTGTTCCCACTGAAGAATGAGTGATGTTTGTCCTCGAAGAGAAAGAGACTTTATACATAATATATAGAAATCAAAGATTATATTCACTCCTAAGTCTTAGTTCCCAAAGAATCGTGTCATGTCATTAATAATATTCACATGGATTAAATAATGGTGTAAATAAGTTTGTTTCTCAGAATAACTGTATTGCTGTTTTCAAGCTGTCCTGCCCTCTAATTGGAATATTTGTTAACATCATGCTTTATTATCTGTGTACATCTCATATCTCCATTTTTATTTGTTCTGCCTTGTAATCTCAGTCTTCTGATTATTTGTTCTGCCTTGTAATCTCAGTCTTCTGATTATTTGTTCTGCCTTGTAATCTCAGTCTTCTGATTATTTGTTCTGCCTTGTTATCTCAGTTTTTTGGTTATGAGCAAACAGTAGTGAACATCTTTAGGATTTGTGGTCATGTACACATTTTAAGCCACAGATCTTGCTTTTGTGCTTTGTTCCATAAGTTGAAGAATGTTTTTTACTTTATTTTCAGTCAGGTAGATCAGGTGTTGGCAAACTTGTTCTGTAAAGGGCCAGATTAGAAATAGTTTTTGCTCCGTGGGCTATGTGGCCTCTGTTGTAACCACTTAATTCTGTTGTAACATGGAAATAACCATAAACAACATATAGATGAATAGGCATGGCTGAGTTCCAATAAAACTTCTCAAAAACAAGGGGCAGGCCAGATTTGATCCAATGGCTATAGTTTGCCAACTCTAGAAGTAAATTTTGTCCAATGAGTTCCAGTAAAACTTTACAAAAACAGGAGGCAGGCCAGATTTGACCCATTGGCTATAGTTTGCCAACTCCAGAAGTAAATTTTGTCCAACATACAGATTTGCCTACTTCCTCAAATATCACAGTGTTTGTCTTATAACAAGAGTATAAAATGAAAGACAGTATAGTGCAGCACAAAATTTGTGTTTAAAATCTATAAATTCTGGTCCCAATAGCATCAACTCACTTACTGTGTAATCTTACCTAAATCATTTAACACTTCCAAAATCCAAAGGTGGCAAATAGAACTCACAGGTTTATGAGGACAATTAAATAAGAATATATTTGAAAAGGTTTTATCGGTTTAAAAGCTAGCCTAGTTTTCTTTCCTGGACTATAACTATTTGCTTGCACACTATCAACTTACAAATAAAATCGATTTTATCTTCTAATTTATCCATCACACATTAAAGTTACCTTCCACATTATATGCTTTCTGTCCTATACACTCACAAAAGTATCTTGTGATGTATCTCCATCATCTTGTTTTTTCATTGCATTCTGATGTGTACTTTCATTGATTTATGTCACCTGTAGAACTGAATATTTAATAGTTTACTATCTTCTTTAGGTCATTGGTTAAAAAAAAGGCTAACATTTACAGAGTACATACTATATGTTAGACACTCATAATTAACTCATTTAATCCTCACAGTAGTCCTTGAGATAGACACTTTTATCATCCTTATTGTACAATTTGAGAGATGAGAAACAGATGGGTCAAGTAATTTGTTTAATGTAAGTGGTAGGTTTAGATTTAAACCAGACAGTAAGGCTCCAGAGGCTGACTTCTTAATTGTTGTGTGATTTTTCTTCTCATCAAATTGGTTTAATATGGATCTCTGGGGAATTTTAGCTGATATCTCTTCATGTAAGGCCACTTTTTCTATACCTTTCTCTGTTGCCTGTATTTATATCAATTCCATGTGGATGGTAAAATAATTTTAAATTAAATGAATTATGAACCCACCATGGAATTATGTACATACAGTTTAACTATTATATAATAATATTTAATATCAGAGTTGCTAAAGATAGATTAATAAGTAAAAAGAGAGGTAATAACAAGATTTGAAATTTTATTTATTTTTTAATTAATTTGTGTATGTACACCAAAATGTTAATAGTGATATTTCTCTGGGGTAAGGATATAGATGGTTTTTACTCTTGTCTCATACTTACCTATAAATTTTATTTTTGCATTATTTTTTTATTGAAAAATAAAAATTTTATATGTTGTGTATAACATTTTAAAATGTGTATACACGTGTGGAATGCTAAATTGAGCTAATTAACATGCGTTACTTCATATACTTTACATTTTTTTGTGGTGAGAACACAATATCTATACTAGCGATTTACAAGACTATAATACAGTGTTAACTATAGTCACCGTGTTGTACAAAAGATCTCTTGAACTTACTCCTCTTAACTGAAATTTGTATTCTATGACCAACTACTACCAAAGCCCCCCTCAAAACTCCCCACAACTCATGTTAAGCACAATTCTACTCTCCACTTTTACAAGTTCAACTTTCTTAGATTCCACACATAAGTGAGGTCATGCTGTATTTTACTTTCTGTGCCTGGCATCTTTTACTTAATATTATGCCCTCCAGGTACATCCATATTGTCACAAATTACCAAATTTCCTTTTGATTTTGAAGGCTTAATAGTAGTGTTTTATTGTGTATATAGTCACAGTTTCTTTATCCCTTCATTGACTGATAGATACTAAGGTTGATTTTGTATCTTGGCTATTATGAATAATGCTGCAATGAATACAGGGGAGCAGATATCTTTTTGAGAGATTGATTTTTCTCCCCTTGGATATATGCCCAGAAGTGGGATTGCTGGAGCATATGGTAGTTTTATAAGTTTTTCATAAATCCATATGGCTATAGTAATTTATACTTCCATTAACTATGTATTTCTTTTCTCCACATACTCCCCAATACTTGTTATTTATTGTCTTTTTGATAACAGCCAGTCTAACAGATGTAAGGTGAAATCTCATTATGGTTGTAAATTGCGTTTCCTTGATGATTAGTGACACTGAAGATTTTTTGATATACTTTTTGGCCATTTGTATGTCTTCATTCAAGAAATGTCTATTCAGGTCCTTTGCCTGTTTTTTCATTGGATTGTTTCCTTGCTATTGAGTTGCATGAGTTCCTTATATATTTTGGATGTTAATCCCTTATCAGACATATGGTTTGCACATATTTTCTCCCATTTTGTGGGTTGTCTCTTCACTCTTTTGATTGTCATAGAGCTTTCCCCCCTGTTTTCTTCTAGTAGTTTTATAGTTTTGGATCTGATGCTTAAGTCTCTAATATATTTTGAGTGAATGTTTGTATCTGGTGTGAGATGAGGGTCTAATTTCATTCTTTACATGTGGATATCCAACTAGTTGTCTCAAGACCATTTATTGAAGAAACTATCCTTTATTCATTGTGTGTTCCTGGCATCTTTGTCAAAAATCAATTGACAATAAATGCATGGATTTATTTCTGGTCTGTTTATGCTCTTCTATTGGTCTATGTGTCTGTTTTTTATGCCAGTTTTGTGCTGTTGTGATTACTATAGCTTTGTAGTATATTTTGAAGTTAGTATGATGCCTTTAGATTTGTTCTTTTTGCTCAAGATTGCTTTGGCTATTTGGGATCTTTTGTGGTTCCACATGAATTTTAGAATTGTGTTCTCTATTTATGTTAAAAAAAAAGTCATTGGAATTTTGATAGGGATTACACTGAATTTGTTGATCACTTTGGGTAGTATAAACATCCTAACAATAGTGAATTCTTGCAATCCATTGACACAGGATATTTTGTCACTTATTTATGTCTTCAATTTCTTTTATTAATGTTTTATAGTTCTCAGTGTACAGATTTTTCACTTCCTTAATTAAATTTTTTCCTAGGCATTTTGTTTTCTGTATCAATTGTAAAAGGGATTCTTTTCTTGACTTCTTTTTCACACTGTTCAGTAGTATACAGAAACATTACTGAATTTTGTATGTTAATTTTATATTTTCAGACTTAATTGAATTTGTTAATCAGTTCTAATAGTTTTTTGGTGGAGTCTTTAGAATTTACTATGTATAACATCATGCCATTGCAAGCAAATAACATAACTTATTTTCCAATTTGAATGCCTTTTATTTCATTTTATTGCATAATTGCTCTGGCTAGAAATTCCAGTATTATATTGAACAGAAGAGATGAGATCAGTCTTGTTCCTGATCACAGAGAAAAAGCTTTCAGCTTTTCACCATTAAGAATGATGGTAGCGGTTGGTTTGTCATATATTGCCTTTATTGTGTTGAAGTACATTTCTGTACCTAGATTGTTGTGAGTTTTGTCATGAAAGTACGTGAATACTGTCAAATGCTTTTTCTGCATTTATTTAGATGATCCTGTGGTTTTCGTTTTTTATTCTGTTAATGTGGCATATCACATTTTTTGATTTGAGTATGTTGACCATCCTTGGATTGCAGGGGTAAGTCCAAATTGATCATGGTGAATAATTTTCTTAATGTGGTGTTGAATTAGGTTTGCTGGTATTGTTTTTGAGGATTTTCACATCTGTGTTCATTAGGGATATTGTAATTTTCCTTTCTTGTAATGCTCTTGTTTGGATTTGGATTGGGGTAATGTTGGGTTTATGAAATGAGTTTAGAAACATTCTATCCTCTTGAATTTTTTGGAAGAGTCTGAGAGGGATTGGCATTAGTTATATTGATTGATTGATTGATTGATTGAGACAGAAGCTTGCTCTGTCACCCAGGCTGGAGTGCAGTGGTGCGATCTCAGCTCACTGCAACCTCCTCTTCCCAGGTTCAAGCGATTCTCCTGCCTCAGCCTCCCAAGTAGCTGGGACTACCACACCTGGATGATTTTTGTATTTTAAGTAGAAACAGGGTTTCATCATGTTGGCCAGGCTGGTCTCAAAATCCTGACCTCAAGTGAGCTGCCTGCCTCGGCCTCCCAAAGTGCTGGGAATACAGGCATGAGCCACTGTGCTCAGCACGTTAATTCTAGCCCATTAAT